AATCGAAGTTATTAATAATATTAATGAAGCATTATTAATTTTTTGATTATTAAAAAGGTCACATCACCAAATGTTTTTACAAATACTAGCGATTTAGTTTAGCACAAATTAATCTCTTAATCATATAATTATCACATAATGAAGCTTAAGGAACTTTGGGAAAATGTTAAACGTTACTTTTACTATGTTACACTTTGCATAGCAACTTATACTCTTATATCAGACTATACTTTTCTTTCGTCATTGATTAATTCAAACTAGCATAACTTGTTAGGCAAACAAAAATAATACACTAGCAGCTAATAAATAATAGTATTCCTTGGGAAGATGTAAATTTATCGCGTTGGAACTCTACGGATTTACTTCGTTATAAATCTAAATCAAAGAATTATAATGATAACCTAGTTACCATACCAGAAGTGAACATGACCATTTAAAATATAGATTACTTTAAAATTAATTATGGCCATTTCGAAGCAGTTTTGGACTTAATAAATTTGATTTTTTTAGTGGTATAGTAGGAATTGCCAACATTAATAATACGAATTCCTGTTGCCACTGCCATTAATGATAGTTGGTGGAAACAAACCAGCTATTTAATTATGTGAGGGATATAAATAAGGTAGCTACGCAACGCGGTTGTGCTAAAACCAGGAACGGAATAGGTTCTGATAAATTGTTTACTCACAATTCCTTGAATAGCTTAGGTTTTTATTACATAACTATAGAAGTTTAGTAGATAATTCAAGCTTCAATATTAGTGAAAAACTTAAAACATCTATACATGTTGGCAAAATCCCAAACTATTATAGTTTGGGTTTGGGCGCGCCCAAATCCCAAACTCCGGCCAAACTCATATTTTAAAAACTTTATCAATAATCTTTATTTAAACAAATCGGATACATATTTATAGCTATATATAATATATTTTGTCAAATTTTAAGATTGCTTTTTTGATTCAATTTTTTATAAATGAGTGTCGTAAAAGAAAACCCGAAAATTTAAATATAAGTCATATTTAAATTTTCGGGTCTTCTTTTAGCGACACTCAAATAGTAATTGTAATTTTGGGGTTTGGGATTTGTCCGGGTTTTGCCAACAAGTATAAAAACATCGGGACAAGTTATGACGTAATAACATATTTTGTCTTTTTGTTTTAAATTATAGCATGTTGTAAAATGCGTATATGCAGATTATCGTGACATATATTAACTGTGCTATATGTTATAATTCAACTTTTTATATGCTATAAACTAATATAATTTTACTTAGTACATAATTTTTATATACATAACTATTGTTATATACAAATATATACATGATTAACTATATATCAATACATTAGATTGTGAAGATATTTCCTTTATTTTGCGATGTTTTTTATAGACTTTGCCTCCATTGCTAGATTATTTTACCAATCTCTTTAATTTCTTGTAGTTTTTTGCATGCCAATTATAATCAAACCTTTCTAAAAACAATTTATAAGGACCAGCCTTTTGATAGCTTGTGTTTAGGAAACAATAAGGAAAATTGTTTTTATAAAATATAATATATATCTGGATAAGAGTTAAAGGTTGCATTTAAAGGGGTGTTGCATTTAGAGGGTTGTATTTAGAGAGGTCTGACTGTAAACTAGTCCATGATGCCTAT